GTCGTTCCTCCACTGGTGGTGTCTCTTACTGCTCTTGCTTATGGATTTGTGACGTTAACCTGGCCAGATGTGTGGCGACGTCAACCCGGCCAGAGGCGGCTGTCCCAGCCCATCCGCGTGCGACGGCGTCCAGGACATCTTGGTTGTTATCTTGTTGCACAACGCTCCGCCAGGGCATACATACGGTTTGATCGGTCCAAGCCCCACGGCGCCACCTACACACAGTTTCGACTCCACTCTGGAGCCATCGTCGCACCGTCGGGGGCGCCAGGCTCGACCATGGAGGGACCTATCGTGAAGCTGACGCTGACGGGCGTGAATTATGGTCGCGGTCGCGGTCGCGGTCGAGCGACGATTGCGGCATGAAACTGGGTTCTCCAATTGATTGGGGCTATCGCCTCAGGCCGCTGCCTGCCGCCCTCGTCGCCTACCCTGCTGGACGATCGTTCCTGGCCAGGCCCAGGTCCGCGACCGACCGACATAAGGCCTCCAGACAACTCTCCGCTGAAGTGTGGACAAGACAGCTCAGGAGCGCACGGCGTGCGAGAGCTGTAGTTTCACAGACCGTGCGACACCGAAATTCGTGACATTTTCGTTGCATTCCCCAGTGCATCTTGTGGGACGGAGCCTGCCCCACGCAGAGCCCCCACAGAATCGTGAATCGTGTCGCCGAGCACCCCACCCCAACCGAGGACCCCAAGGACGAGCCCATTTGCAGCGTCATTTGCAATGATTCTCCACATAACATCGGCGCGGCCAGGCCCTTTCCCTTCCCTCCGTCAGCTGAGGGAAGGAATCGTTTGGAGGCAAGATTTTGGCCGCGCGTTTTGATTGGTGCGCTACTAGCACCAGTTGCACGAGCTCGAGTATCTGCTTCCGACTCCGACGACGGCGCTGCTGCTTTCGCTAGAGGCTCCACCGTGCGGTTAGAGGCTCCACCGCATGAGCCCGACGTACATCGTTATCATCGTTCCCTGACGGGGGCGCGCCGCCGCTCGGCGCGGTGGCGTCGCTGTTGCTGCTGCTGCGGTCGCTGCTCCTTCTCCTCCCTCCTCCTGCTGCTTTCACCGTCCCCCTCGTATTTGTTTGTATTTTTGCTTCGCTTCTGAGGTTTGCGCCTTTCCGCAGCCGCCCCTGCTCCTGCTCTGTGCCGGGCGGGCCTGGTGCCCCATGGCAAGCTCAGGCTCAGGGCTGGGTGCCCCTCCTCGTTTTGAGGGGATGGCGTGCGGAATAAGAGTTATGTTGCCCCTGGCTCACGGGGTGTGAGCCCATCAGCAGAACGGCGCGCAGACTGCTGCAATGCCGAGTCCGACCGACCCCTCGTCCACCATCCCCACCCCTCCCTCCTTGAGCCTCGCTGCCTCGGCCCCGCGCAACCGGTGGAGCTGCCCACAGCGCCCGGTCGTCCACGTGCCGCTTCCGCACCTCGTCGCAGCGCGTGAAGGAACGGGGCGGGGGGAGGAGCCGCTCGAGCGGGTGGTAGGATCGCAGTGGGAAGCGACGAGCACGAAGACGAGAAATACGACGAAGAGGGGGACAGCGTCCCCGTCATCCCCGTCCTCCCCGTCCTTCCTGTCCTCCATCCCCGTCCTCCCCGTGCTCCTCATCCTCCCCCTGCTCCATCCTTGCTCCGTGCAAGTGGCTTCTTCCTGTCGCACCCCGGACGCGTGAGTGGAGCGTGCCGGCCGTTTCGCCCGAGTCTTCCTCACCCTTCATGACCCGGAAGGTTGAGAGTTGCAGAAGTTTCACGGATGGAGGGCGGTTCGATATCAGAATGTGGCCCTCGCCTCAGCACGACGGCCATTTTCAAACGTGTGCAACAGTTCCACGAATGGAGGACGGGCCTTTTTGCAAGATGTAGCTCTCGCCTTAGCGCCGTTCACATGCATGTGCAACCAAGAACGGAGGGCGATCGCTTTTCAACATGTAGCTATCGCCCCAACGCCGCGCGCATTCGTCTTACGTAACAGCTTGCAGCCGTGTCAAGGATTCGTACGGTCGGGCTCCCAGGACTGGCCTTCTGGCACGATTTAGGACTGCCAGGACGCAACAGTCACTTAGACTCGCGGTGTTGAAATCCCAGGGATGATGTTAATGCGTGGTTTCGGATTGACAAGACGCGACAGTCAGGAAATCTCTGTGAAGTCGAAGTCCAAGGAGTGGAATTTTCGCACGATTGAAGCGTCTCAGACGGCTGTCTTCTAATGGGCCACTTCTCGCAAAGGATGCGAATTCTTGCAGGACCTATGATGAGGGCATCTGGAGGGAGGAATGATTGCAACATCGTTCATTCGTCTTGGGTATACACTGGTACTCCTCCTCCTTCTTCTCCTCCTCATCCCCCCCCCTTTGAGCATGCGGAGGAAGATGAGGGGAGGCAAAGGAACACAAGAAGGCGGCGTCGGAGGCGAGGAGGAGGGATGAGAGGGATGAAGAAGATAATGTTTTCTCGCATCCTCGGGGGACCTTGTCTGTCCCGTCGCGGCCCTATCCACGTTGAATCCGTGCCGGGCTCGGGGGATCCGTGTCGAATCCGGGTCGAATCCGCGTCGAATCCACGCCAAATCCGCGTCGAGTCCGCATCGAGCCCGCGTCGGGCACAACAAGAAAATGCACCACCCATTTGGGGATGCCGGATGCAACTTACGGGAGAGGCCCCCCGATGATGCAACTTACGGGAGTGGACGCCGGATGGGGAAGGCCTCTCTTCTGCCGCTCGCTCCAAATCGCTGCAACGCTAGCCGCAAACGTCGGGCGCCCGCCCCGCTAGACAAGGCGACGCCCCGACGGACTCTTGACGCATCGGCGTGCTCTCTTTCTCTCTCTCTCTCTCTCTCTCTCCTGCTTTCTCACTCTCTCTCTCTCCTTCTCTCTGTCGTTCTGTCGCTCTCTCTCTCTCTCTCTCTCTCTCCCTCTGTCCCTTACTCTCAGGATGCCGTGAACCCTATAACATTCTCTCTCTCTCTCTCTCCCTATATATATGTATATATATATATATCGATATAGATACGTATATATCTGAGACATATGTGAAAACCTCTCTCGATATACATATGTGCGTATGTATTTCCACATAATAAGCATCTGCATGCTGCATGCCATATCATGTACTCTGTCCTGCTGCATTTGCTACTTCCTATATGCACGCATGTCCTGTTTCCCTCGCACTCTCTCTATCTCGTTTGTGTTGTTTCTCTCTCTCTCTCTCTGCCATGTATATCTATACATCTATACACACGATGGACAACGCGAACGATCCGACAAGCTGTCACACGCATCGACCATAACATGAACTGAATGACAAGGCCCCCTGCTGAACTGCAGCTCACGGCACCGAAATTCTGGAACTTCGGAAGACTCCGAGGCCCCTTTGGAGGGCCCCGGAGGCCGAAAGCAGGGCCAACCTCTTCCAGAAGCCTTGATCCTCTGGCGGCGCGCCGAGGGGAGCGGCGGGGCTTCAGAGCAAGCTCAGGAAGCTTCTCCGAAGGCCAGAGGCCTCCTGAGCCCTCCTGGAGGGCTCGCCACCTCTGCCTGCCCGGAGCCCTCCTGCATGGGATCCGAGTCCGAGGACTGCGCGGCATCGCCAATGCAGCGCCGATGTATCGCCGATGCACCGGCGACGCATCGGCGACGTCGGCGATGCACCTGAGCATCGTTTAACCGATCCCCATCCCCACTGGCGTGGCCTGGGCCCAACTGGCCGATTTACTCCCCTAGATGGGGATATAGGCCGTGCTCTTCGGGCTTCGAGGGGTGTATCCCCAACTTGGGTGGCAATTTGGAGGTCTCCAAGGGGATGGGGATGGGGAGTGGTTGAACGATACCGACGAGCACCAGCGCCATCGGCGTGGATCAGTTCTGGCTCCACGTCGTACCCAGTCGTCGACGCACCGGCGATGCGCAGCGATCCTTCGACCACATCTACTACTCCGACCCCGTCTGGGGGGCCCCAACCTTCCCGGGTCGGCGCGCCGCCGGTTGAATCGGCGGTGGACAAACCTCCCTTTAGTACACCTCCCCTTAGTGCAGACGGCCTGGGACCGAAACCGACGGACCTGGACCCGCAAAAATGACGGCCGCGACGGCCTCTCGCGAACCCAAAACGGCCAATTCACTAATCGACGTGTCAGGGTAGGAGGTCGATCCACCCCCGATTGAAGCCGCAGAGGCTCCGCCCTCGAGCCGCGCCGCGCACGGGGGCACCTCTTCCAGCTGGGCCTGGTGCGACTTCTGCGCGCTGTCCAGCAGGGCCTGCGGCAGCGGATCCGCGAGCGGCGGAGGGCGGAGAGGAGTCCAGACAGCCGCTCCACGGCCTCCTGCTTCTCCTCCTGCTCCTCCGTCTCGTTGCTCCTCCTCTTGGCGGCGCGCAAAAGGGGGTAGGGAGAGGGGGGAAGGCTTCTTAGAAGCACCCTGCTTCTTAGAAGGCCTCGGCCTTACGTCTATAGAGAAGGACCGCGCCTTCTAAGAAGCAGGGGTGCTTCTAAGAAGCCCTCCCCCCCCACCCCCCTCTGCGCGTGGCTGATCCTCCTCCTCCGCCTCCTCCTCGTCGATCCTCGAGATTCGAAGTTTCTGGGCGGCCCTGCTTCTTTCGGGGCCTCCGGGAGCTTCCAGGGAGATCGGGGGGAGCGGCGGAGAGAGAACCCGCAGTGGATCGACCTTGCGGACCGGCAATCTCTGGCCCTTGCTCGGGACTCCGGAAACCTTCGTTGTGTGTTGCAGACTGTGGGAGCTGGGCTGCGCAGACGTCGGGGGCATCTCTCGTCGCCTTATGTGCAATCTTCTTGAAGGCGTGCTCCATCCGTCTACGCGATGCGTTGGGAAATAGCGTGCGTTCACGTATTCATATATATATATATATGTATACATGTATACATATATCTATATATACACAGGTATATAAACATGTATGTATGCAGGTGCATGTGTATATCGGTATAGCTATATACAGATATAAGCATGTCGATATAGGCATAAAACTGCAGAGACATGATTGTTTACTCTGTCTAGATAGATATAGACATCATGTGCGCGCATGCTTGTATATCCGCCACGGTGCCTTGGGGCACGACGTGGAGTGTCCTCAGCGCGCCTCGAGTTTTTCTGTATGGAATACTGGAGATAATCAGGGGCCGAGAGCCTTGAGTTCTGGGCGCTCCCGGGCGGTCTGAGGGGGTTTCTCGCGCGACATGTCCACAGGCGTGCCAAGAAGCGCCAAAGGTTAGGTCGGGCACGTCCCCATACAGGCGGGTTTTGGGCGAAAAACCAAAAACAATAATGCCCCACAATAGCAGAAGAAACACTAGACGAAATCGCCCCCATCTTATTTTTTTGACTACTTTGGAATATTCCTCCTGTAGAGGGACAGGCCCAGCTTAACCCCCAGGCCCCCAAGCAGGTCCGAGAGGGCCCAGAGTCGCCCAAAGATCGCCTAGAGATGCCCAAGGTGGCTCCCAGACAACCCAAGAGGCGCCCAAGACTCCCCAAGGGGGCTCGAAGACGACCCACGAGGGATCCAAGAGGAGACGCCCCAAGAGGACTCCTCTTCCTCCTCCTCCTCCTCCTCCTCCTCCTCCTCCCGAGCTCGATCGGACCTCAGGGGGGGTCGGCCCGCCTGCCAGTCGCTGTTCATCTTCTTCTGGTTCGCGTCCGCCAGCTCGAGCTGCGTGATCTTCTGACCTGCAGCCGGGGCGGGTGCTCAGTGGTGACTACCTACCAGACCACCCCAACCCAACCCGAAGACCCGAATTTCGGGTTGGGGGGGGTATGGGCTCCATATGTGTTTTTTCGATGTTCCCGGACCCCCCCCCACTAGAAATCGAGGGTAAATCTGAGCCTTCGGGTTGGGTTGGGGTGGTTTGGTGGGTGGTGAAGTGGGCCCCGGAAACGGCAGGGCCGTCCCTGATCACCTAAGAGCGTCTCTCGAGCATGGAAGCGATGGATGTCCAGAAAACGGCAGCCAAAAAAACGACACAAAAACGGCTTCGGGATTGGAACCGGAACAGGGACCGGCAAAGCAACGGCGACGGACCCTGAGATCCGACGTTGCAACAGAAATTGCAACGTCGCAGAATTCACGACCAAAACCCCGGACCCCATCTTCCTGCATAATTTTTCAAACCGGGTTGATCTGCGAGGGTCCCGGGGCCGGAAATTGAGGGAAAGCGCCCCTGGGGGAAAAAATTGCAAGGCCAGGATCTCAGGGGAGCCAGGAGAGAAATGGCGCCCCAACCGGCAGCGAAGACGGGGGGACGGAGCCGGTAACAGAAGCGGCCCTGTCGTTTCTTAACGAGCAAAGAATGGTATAAGATCAACTTTTTCGCTGTCGGGGGCGCCTGTCCCTGGGCGGCTGGAAAGTTTATCCTTACGGTGGCACCGTAGGGGTATAAACTTTCCGGCCGCCCAGGGACAGTCGCCCCCGACAGCGAAAAAGTTTATTTTATACCGTTCTTCGCTCGCTGGGTTCCCAGGGCCCACCACGAGGGCGCGCTGCCCCTGCAAGAGCCCGCAGGCTTTGCCGGCGCAGGGCCCACACGACGACAGCCCAGGAGGGACCGCGGGAGCGGAGGGGCCGCCGCCGCCGCTCCTCCTCGCAGCTCCGCCGCCCTCCTCCGCCGCCTCCTTCTCTCGGCTACGGCCGACCCGTATCGCAAGGATGCGCGCTGTAGCAGGGGCCCGACCACAAGACACCTTGCACAAGAAGCCCAACCCCGAATCCGCAGGGCGTCCATCGATTCTTCGGCGCGGGGAAGGCACGCCTTCCACGGCAAGACCACCGAGACCCAAGAAATCCAGGGCACCCTGGAGGCAAGCAGGGCTTTTCTTGGCATGGGCCTCCACTGCAAGGATGCAAGGGCCTTGGAGGCCCACGTGAGCGTTTTTCGAGTGAGGCTGGCCAGCGAAAGCGGCCAAGGATGGGCCGAGGAGACAAGAACGCGCATACACCCTTGGGAAGGTTGCCCAGCCTTGCCACGCGGGTTGACTGTAGCTCCGCCGCCCTCCTCCGCCGCCTCCTTCTCGGCTGCACGTACAGTGGAGGCCACTCCACAAGAAACCTTCCGCAAGAAACCCAGCCCTGCGACCCCAAGACGTCCATCGATTTTGGTATGGAAACCTCACGCTTTCCATAGCAAAACCATCGAAACCTAAGAAGCCCAGGGCGCCCTGGAGGCAAGCAGGATGTTTCTTGGCATGGGTCTCTACTGCAAGAATGACCCTGGGCAAGAGTGACCTTTGGTGCGCGACGTTCGGGGGCCGCGGGGAGACCGAATCAGAGCGCGCCAGCCGCTGTTATCACATCGCATCCAGCCATCTGGTCGTCCCAGCGTGCCCGCACCGAAAGCCGCTCTGGCCAAAAGCCACTTACGCATAGCCGACCGTCTCCCTCCTCAGCAGCCCTACCAGACCCAGGCTGTCCTGCCTGGCACCTAAATCACGACGAGTGTTCGGCACCCAGGACTGCGCTTCCCCCTCCTCCTCCTCCTCCTCCTCCTCCTCCTCCTCCTCCTCCTCCTCCTCCTCGTCGTCGTCGTCGTCGTCGTCGTCAACGTCGTGGTCGTCGTCGTCGTCGTCGTCAGCGTCGTCGTCGTCGTCGTGTCATCGTCATCGTCGTCACAATCGTCGTCGATATCGCCGTCGTCATTATCATCAGCATCCGCATCGCCGTCATCAACACCAATACCATCATCATATCGATACCGTCGTCGCCATCATCCTTCCCATCAAGACTTACCACCATCACCACCATGAAAAACCGCAAAATCACAATCTCCATCACCATCCTCATCACCATTATCATCGTCATCAGCATCGTCATCATCAGCAGATACCCCACCATCATCCTTACCATCAGCATCATCCCCTCATCATCATAATCAGCATCATCATCATCAGCAACATCCTCACCATCAGCATAGTCATCGTCATCATTATCAGCGTGATCATCATCATCAGCATCATGATCGTCATCGTCGTCGTCGGCATCATTATCATCATCATCATCATCATCATCATCATCATCATCATCATCATCATCACCATCACCATCAGCATCGGCATCAGCATCAGCATCAGCAGCATCATCAACATAATCCTCGTCGTCGTCGTTATCTCCTCATCCGTCCTCCTAGCTCACTCGTCCTGCTCCTCCTCCTCTTCCTCACCCTCCTGCTCCTTGCTCTCTCAGACAATTTGTTCCTCTGTCCTATTCCTACATCCTCCTTCCTCGTCTTCCTCCTGGTTCTCCTCCTCCTCCTCCTCAGATCCTCCCCCATTACTTCGTTATGATTACTCCTCCTGCTCCTTCTCGTCATTCTGAAGCAGAACCGAATCTATGATCCGTGGTACCGTAGAACTACCACAGTGCCAACATAGATAACCATCACATGCTATACTTCCATGGCGCAACTCAGTGCGATCGCATTCATGTGCAAGTGACAATCATGGGAAGATGCCGTGGCCATCGGCCCATCCTTCCACCGCGCATGGGTCGTGACTCAGATGCCTCCTGGATGGCTTTAAGCCCTTTAGGGTATCTAGGGGTGACTGTTGGGGCCTCTTGGAGGCCTTCTGGGGCCTCTCGAGAGCCATCCGAGGCAGCCTCGGACCATCTTGGGAGCCTGCTGGAGGAGTCCTGGGAGCCCGCTGGCATGCCCAGGCCCCCTCGTGTGGTGGAAAAATCACGACGGGCAGTCTTTCTAGATTTTCGGCCTCCTGGAGCCGTTACCGGGCCTCGGGACCGTGAAAAAACGACTGAGGACGAAAAACCGGTCCCCGGGAAGGGGTCCAGACCTCTGGGGGTCGAGGTTGTGAAAACATCACGTCGGGGGTCTGGGTGGAGCCCTCTTGGGAGGGAGGGCCGCTGGCGCACCGGGATCCGGTTGGGGCTCCGAGGCCCCTCTTGGGGGCTCGCGGGCCTTCTCGAGGCGATCTCGGGGGCCTCTGCGGCTGTCTCGGCCACAGTGCAGACCGAATACCCCAGATCCCTTCTTGATCGTCCCCCAGTTCCGGTTTTTTAAAGCGCCTTTTTTGTAACTGGGGGGGGGTCCGGTAATTAGGGAGCTTAGGGGGTTCGGTTTATTAAGGCGCCCCGTCGAAGAGGGGGGGTCCGGAATATTAGGTCGCATTTGGAGGGGGGGTGCGTTTTTTTAAAGGGGGTGTCGATTAATAAGGGATTTGGAGTAAGTGAGAATATTCATGCCATACAAAGACCTTTACTGCGAGCTCCTGGCCGTTCTCCAGGGCCTTCAAGACGGCGCCCAGCAGAGTCACAGGACAGGTGCGGGCGCCGAAGGCACCTCAACGCAGGTTGGGAAGGTGGCTTCCTCACTGCGCTCACCTGAAGCTCCCGCATGCAATCTTGACACAAGGTGCCCCCGCCTCTTCCAATCATTCTGAGCGTTTTCTTATTCGGCGTTTCGACATTGAGCGAAGAGGGGGGAGGGGGGGGTCTGGCTCTGGACCTCTGCTTAGTGCGACTGTTTGCGACAGTGCGACTGACTAGGAGGGGGGACTCCACCTGCTCGAAACAGGCACCACAAGCAACCACGATCTACTCCAGGGGGGGGAGGCGAAAGGGAGGGGGGGTACGAGGGCCCGCGCCGATCAGCAAAACAGTGAAAACAACTATAATAATTTAAGCCCCTTACGGGGCCGTCTAGGCCCTGTGAGGGGTGATACCTGCAGGCCATTTTGCCCTCCCTTGAAACGCTGGGGTCACCCTCAGCCAAAGTCACCCCCTAGCAGCATGCGGAAAGATCCACGCCCCTCCTGCTGCTGCTCTTCGCGAGACTGGAGCTGAAGGAACTGCCTCCTGCGGACAAGAAGTCAGGCGGCCGTGGCCATAGACTTGCTCTAGCAGCCGCACCTGATCCCTACCCCTGCATGCAAAACTTCTGAACTGAAACGTCTGCGGATGTGCAGAATTCGGAGGATGCCTGAAGCCAAATGAAGCCTGGCGAGGAATCCGCAAGGGTGGGGTACGCAGGTGGTCGCAGAGTTCCTGCTTCGGCCACTGGGTAGCCGCGGGATCCGAGCAGCCCCTGCCGCTCCCACTCTTGCCCCCGCGCCGTCCCATCCAGCCTGCTTCTTCAGCACACGGCCCCTGGACCTCACGAAACGGCCTGGGGAGGGCGCGCATGACGAACGCAGCTCCGCCCTGCCTCCCTCGGGGCACTGGAAGCCTGGGGGGCCCCTGCCCCGGGGCGGAGCAGCACGGAGCGAGGGCGAGAACCGCAGACGGCGCGGGCGTCGGCCGAGAGAGGCGAGGCGGCGCGGGTGCGACGCGCGTGGTCCAGCTCCATCTGCAGCTGGTCCAGCTCGAGGCCGAACTTCTGCTGCTGCTGCTCCAGCTCCTGTCGGGCGGACGCCAACTGCACACCTGCACAGACCCTCGCCGAGCCCAGGACCGGCGTACATGCCCTCCTGGCTTGGCCAGGGAGGCATCTCTCTCGCTCTTTCTCTCGCTCTCTCTCTCTCTCTCTCTCTATCGCTCTCTCTCCCTCTCTCTCTCGAACTCTTGCGCTCTCTCACGTTCCCTTTCTTTGTTTTGTTTTTTTTTATTTATTTTCTTTCTCTCTCTCTCTCTCTCTGTCTCCATACTGTGTATATATGCACATCTCTTCACTATAAGCAGTGTGTCCACCACCGTGCAGCGAGGCGCGAGCTGGAATGCCCTTGGGTCTGAAAGCCTCAACCCTCAGGACCCATGTTCTTGAATTCCTGGGGCTCCCCGCAGCTCTCCCGATCCCCGCGTCCATGATTTGTCCATGGCCCTAGAAGGCCCAAGAGGCCCCAAGAGGCCCCAAGAGGACGGGCCATCAGGGCCCCAAGAGGCCTTTCAGACGGTACACGGGCGCTCCGAGTCGCCGCACGATGGGTCCAAACCGCCCCAGATGGCTCCCAGACGGCCCAAGAGGCCTCCAGGACGCGCCAAGGAGAGCCCCACGAGCACGTCCAAGAGGGCCCCGAGAGGCGACAATGTTTGATTTGCTGATGGTTTGGTGTGACCGACTTGCTTAGTCTCGCGTCTTCGGCCCTCCAGCGCTCCAAAACATTCCACGAGGCCCCAAGATCGCTCAAAGACGGCCGAAGAGGCCCCCAGGAGGGCCCCGAGACGGCCCCAACACGGGCCAAGAGGCCTCCAAGACGGCCCAAGAGGAGAGGAACCTAGACTGACGTTTCGCGCTCTGCGCCCCAAGAGGGCACCTGACACCGCCAGCAGGCCCCGAGGAGGCCCCCAAGAGGCCCCAAGAGGCCGCCAAGAGGCCCAGGAGAGGCTCCAGAGGACCCTAGAACGGCCCCCAAGAGGTTTCAAAGCTTCGTCCAAGAGGCTCCCAAAAAGCCCTCCCGAGAGACCCCAACAGGAGCCCTCTGAACACTGACCCACAACCCCAGCCACGGTGGCGGGTTGGGCCAAATACCATCATTACAGACGCACCGATCCTTTGCCTGAGATTGACCTGGCCAGGATTGGTGTGATGAGGTGCCCCGGGCGGTCGGAAGAAGTGGGTAGAAGTATGACATAGGAAGGTGTTGGAAGTAGAGTGGATGTCCGCTCGCCTCCTAAAGAAGAGGGAAGAAGGAAAACCACTGGACTCTGGAAGTAGGATTGCCCCGAACATAGATTGGGATCTGGGAATCCAGAAATTCATTAACCCCATACCCACGAGAATAATGTACCCCCCTATACACATAAGAGTTGATTATCCACGGCCAATAAGAGTTTGGTCGGGGGCGCGGGGGCGCGGAGGCCGAACTTCATTATCACGGGGAAAAGTTCGCCATCAAGCGAAACAAGCAATGCTTTAGGAATCCTGTCTTTCTCTTCTCCTTCTCCTCTTCTCCTCCTCCTCCTCCCCCTCATTTCTCTTTCTTCTCTCTTACCTCTGTTTCAATATGTTTGTCTACTTTCTTCAATCTCTTTGTAGCTCTTTCTGTCTTTCTTTTTCTCTCTCTCTCTCTCTCTTTCTTTCTCCTCCTCCCCGTGGCCCCTGAACTTGTTTATCGCTGTGCTGTATTATCCCAGGAAACCGAGGCAGATGAGCTACCCTACACGAGCAGATGAAAATTTTAATTTTCATTAAGCGCTTACACAATTAATCTAAGAAGTGTTGAACTTTGGATTTTTGCTATCTCCTTCTCCTCTCCTCCTCTTGCTGTTTCTCCTCTTCCTCCTCCTCCTCCTCTTCCTCCTCTACCTCCTCTTCTCTATCTTTCTATTTAGCTCTCTATGTATCCAGCGAAACGAGAGATTTGTCGAGGATGTCTCAAGCGAGACAAGCAATTTGAGGATGTCTCAGAGAGGACAAAAAGCCAAGGATGTCTCAAAATATCCTCGGTTTTGGCTCCTCTGTTAACATATTTATGCTGGCTCGGGTGGGCAACGTTTACTATCACACCGTAACCGCCGAACTTTATTCTCCCTGGGGGGTTATTCTCGGCTGTATTCGGTTATTCCAACGACCGGCGAGTATATTCTGGCACCCTCCAGAAAGGCCTCCTAGATGAGGTCGGAGTGGATGGAATCGGAGGATCGTGCCGCATCGCCGATACATCGCCGACGCATCGGCGATGCACTGGCGGTATATTGTTGACGTGGGCGATGCATCGGCGACGTCGACGTGCAGGAAATCAAGCTCCACATCGAGCCGCATCACCGATGCATCGGCGCTGCGGCGCGATCCACCGACACCATCCAATCAGACCCCATCTGGGAGGCCTAGGCTCGACTCTTGGCCTCTTGAAGCAGGAAACCACTCGACCCTTGAAGTAGGAAGGCGCCGACAGCAGATTGGGATCTGGGAATCCAGCAATGCCTGCTTCCAACGACCGGCGTGCATATTTGGGCGCCCTCCGGCGCCTGCTGCAGCTGCGTCAGCTGCTTCTTCGTCTCCTCTCGAGCGGCGAAAGGGGGGGCGGGCTCTCGTGCACAGGTGAGGGGCAACGATAGGGGGGGACTGGCATAGGAGGGGATGCATCGACCCAGAATCGGCGATAAACCGCCGATAGATCGGCGATATGCCCTCGATAGTGAATCCGCACCTTGCTGTGCAGGTTGGGGCTATCGGGGCCCTCTCAGCGATCAACAGGGCGACTGGGGGCCGATGCCCTCCTGCCCTCTTTCCGGCGGCGAGCGAAGTTCGAGGCTCGAGGTTCGAGGTTCGAGGATTTCGAACGTTTTCGTCGGTTCTCGGCGGTTTTCCAGCCCTGAGCCCAGACCCCCGACGTCATGATTTTTGCATGACGTCGACCCCCGTGAGTGCGTGCGTGCCCCGCCCTTGCCACACTGGTCGGACCGTGTCTGGCGCTGCAGGCCGACGTGGAGTGCGAAGCGCTTCCTCCTCCTCCTCCTCCTCCTCCTCCTCCTCTTCCTCCTCCTCCTGCTCCACCTCCTCCTCCTGCTCCTGCTCCTCCTCCTGCTCCTCCTCCTCCTCCTCCTTTTCCTCCTCCTCCTCCTCCTCCTCCTCCTCCTCCTCCTCCTCCTCCTCCTCCTCCTCCTCCTCTTCAGCCCGGGGGCACCCGAGTGGGTCCCCACCCCCGTCACACAGGGGGACCCCCGGGCGTTGGGGTTGGGGTCCCGGGTCTCGCCGCCACGCCGGGACTCCCCTCGGAGCCGGCCACGAGCGCCTGGCCTCCCTTCGGAGCCGGCCACAAGCTGCCCTGTTGGAGCCCCCCTGCTGGGGCGGAGAGGCGAGGAGGCAGGAGGGAGGAGGGGGGGGAGGAGCCGGGAGAGAACTGGGAGGCGGAGGAAGACGGGTGTGCGGCCGGGGAGTCTGCGCCACCCAACTGCCCCCGTTGGGCGCACGCACACCCGCCTGAGGCAAGGAGCGGGGAAGGAGAGAGGGGAGGAGAGAGGGAAGGAGCGAGGAAGGAAGAGAGGCGAAGCGGCGGCCAGAGAGGGGCAGGCAGAGGCGAAGGGGGAGGAGGGGAGAAGGCGGCGCAGGAGGCAGTAGCCCGGCGTGCCGCGCTCAGTGTGCGCCCAGTTCCAGCTAGCGGCCTGGCCCCGGCCAGTAGTCAGTCTGGCGCCGCCGCCTGGGCGAGCCGCTCCCCGCGGCGTCAAGCCAGCCCGGCTGCTCGGCGGCGCTGCAGCGCCAGCTGAGCCTGCACGGCGCAGCTGATGGCCTTGTAGGCCCGCGTCAGCTCGCCGGGCTGCTGGTCCTCCGGCAGCGTGCGCACCTGCCGCAGAAGCCACTGTCGGGCTTCTCCGCCTAGGCGCCCCGGGGTTTCCACCACGAACGGCGTCAGTCTGTCCCCCGGGTACCTGGCGTGTTTCTGGCGCTCGCCTCTCCGGGCGGCCTCGCCAGGCCTGCGCGCCGCCGCCTGCGCCACGTCCTCGGCTGCTGGGTGGCGGACCGAAACATCGATCCAGTGGCGGCTGGCCCCGTCGCTGTACTCGACGTCCAAGATTGCGCGTTCGAGGAGGTCTGCGTCTGGCGGGTCTGCCGGCCGCCGGTTGCGGACACGGTCCCAGGCCGGCGCCCGCTGCTCCGTCAGCGGCTCCTGGTGCAGCCAGCGGCGGACCAGGCCGGCCACCGCGTTTTCGAGGCTGCCGTGGCGGCGCTCCACACCGCCGCCCAGGGTGCAGGTGGCCGCGTGCGTGCCTTGCTCGTCCAGCGGCTGCCCGCAGGGCGCGCCGCGGGCTCCCTCGGCGGCAGGGCGGTTCTGGCAGGACTGCGCAGCCGTCTGGAGCTCTGCCTGCGCGCATTCAGGCCTGGGCAAGTGCGCGCGGGCACGGAGCCCCGTGGCCCAGAGCGCGTCCTCCAGCGAGCAAGCGGGATCGCTCGGGTAACCGAGGAACCCGGCGGCCCCTGGCCAACCGGCCCCCAGGAGCGTCGCCCGCTCGTGGCTGTGCAAACGCTGCCTCAGGGAAGCGCTCCCCCTCCCCCTCCCCTTCCTCCTCCTCCTCCTCCTCCTCCTCCTCCTCCTCCTCCTCCTCCTCCCTCCTCCTCCTCGTACTCCACCCTCTCCTCCTCCTCCTCCTCCTCCTCCTCCTCCTCCTCCTCCTCCTCGTCCTCCTCCTCCTCCTCCTGTGCGGCCCCATTGTCACAAACTGAATGAGCATGCGAACATTCCCTCGTTAGTCGTGCGCAGGCTCTTTCCATTCCCAGACATGGGAAGCCCGTTTTTCTTCATGAGCGGTCCCCGGCAGCCCCGACCCTTCTTCCCCCACGGCCTGCTTTCCATCCGGATCCGTTGTTCCACGGTCGTGGGGCCTGGCGAGGGCCCTTGGAGTCCGAAAATTGCCAATATGTGTTGATTGTTGCGCGACCCTGGCATGCGCCGAGCGAGGGGAGGAAGTGAGAAGGAGAGGGCCTTCTCAGAAGGCTTCTGAGAAATTTTCGGAGCCTTCCCCGAAGACAGACGCGAGCTTTCTGGAAGGCGCGGGGGCTTCTGAGAAGCCCCGCCGCCCTCTGAGAAGGCCTTCTCCTTCTCACCTCCTAGCCTCGCTCGCCGCCGACGGAGGGGAATTGATTGCGGACTTGGCTACGAGATCCACCCCCTAACGTGGCAAATCCCTAACCTAACCTAACCCATGCCCTGTCGACACTGCGCCAGAAGGAACCCGACCCATTGGAGCTGGCGTGACAATCGGCTCGGCGACACCAGTGTGCCACGCGCGCGCTGTAGCAAATGATGCACCATAAAGGGGCGACGCAGCAACATGCAATGCAACAGTGACAGCCGTATGAGTAATTCCCCTTCGTATGCAATCAAGAATCTGGCCAGCGCTGAAGCGAAAGCAACCTTCGCAATCACGTATGTGGCCAGCGCTGAGGCGAGAGTAACATTGAGTCTAGGACCCCTCGTCCTCCTCCTCCTCCTCCTCCCTCCTCCTCATCGCTCGTGCAAAGATCGTACATACTCAACCAAAGCGCGCGCACACACACACATCATACATACATACACCCTCGTAGAACCACCCACGTCCACATGCAGCCGCGCACACACCACATGGGCACGAGCTCGTACACACATCAGACATACTCAACACACGCACACAAACATCATACATGCACCCACATACAGTCGCCCACGTCCACATGCAGCCGCGCACGACACGGGCACCCTACAGCGCATGCGCGCAGGATTCGCAGGGCGTGGCTGGCGTAGCCCTCTCTCGACAGCACAAGGGATGCCCACGGGGTGGTCCCTGGGCGCGGCCTCCATTGAAGGGGCCCAAGGACACACAAATACACACAAATAACAGGATTCCCCATATGTTCACATATTTTCTAGGTTTTTGTCTTCCCCCCCATTTCCTATATTTTCCCACATTTTCTGGGGAATCGACGATTCATTGTGTCTGTGTGTTGTTTCCCCTCCTGATCCATGCGAGCCAGGGTCGGCAATGCGCGGCAGGCCTGGCACGTTCTCGACACCACGGGGGAGGGGCGGCCTCTCTGCGCGCGCCGAGGTCGGCGAGCGCGGCAGGCGTGGCACTGCACCACGGGAGGTGCGGAAGAGCGGTCTCTACGGGGCATGAAAACGACCACAGCCACTGCTTTTCTTTTGTTGCCGCCTTACAGCCCGCAGAAACAAAGCAGTGGTTGTGGTCATTTTCGTGGAGCTTGGCACCAAGGAAATGACCACAACCACTGCTTCTTTTTCGGCCGGCTGGAAGGCGGCGCAAACAAGAAGCAGTGGCTGTCGTAATTTTCCCGTCCCGCAGGAGGTGCGGAAGAGCGGTCTCTGAGCGCGGCCTCCCTGCGAGCCCAGGGTCGGCAAGCGTGGCAAGTGCGGCATTTACAGTCGGGGCGCTGACCTAAGGAACCCTAAATAAGGGACGAGGCCCCTTTTTTTCCATAAGTTAAACTTCGACTTACTATTGAAAGCTCAAGGAAATCCCATGGCAAACTGTAAACAAATCAAGGAACACCGAGCCCCTCCCCAACGAGAAGGGTTCCTTCTTCAGCGCCCCGACTGTACTCGACACCGTAGGGGGTGCGCAAAGGGGTGGTCCCTCAGCGCGGTCTCTGCGCGTGCCGGGGTCGGAAAGCGTGGCAGGCGTGGCGTCTTCTCAATACCAGAAGGGGTGCGGAGAGGGTGGTCACTCAGCGCGGTCTCTGTGCGTGCCAGGGTCTGAAAGTGTGGCAAGCGTGGCTATTCATTTACATCATAGAGGGTGTGCAGGGGGTGGTTGTCCCTGAGCGCGGCGTCTCTACGCATGCCAGGGTCGGACAGCGTGGTAGATGCGGCGTTGATTCGGCACCATAGGGTGGTGCGCCAGGGGTGGTCCCTCTCCACGGCCTCTATGCGTGCCACGGTCGGCAAGCGTGGTAGGACTGAAACTTTCTCGACACCATAGGGGGTGCGCAAGGGGTGGTCTCTGAGCGCGGTGTTTATGCGAGCCAGGGCCGGAAAGCGTGGCAATTTCTTGACACCACAGGGGGGTTGCAGAGGGTGCTTGTCCCTGAGCGCGGCGTCGATGCGTGCCAAGACAGAAAAGCTTGGCAGGCGTAGCATTTTCTCGACACCGTAGGGGGTGCGCAAGGGATGGTCCCTGCGCGCGGCCTTTAAGCGTGCCAGGGTCGGAAAGCCTGGCGGGCGTGACACTTTCCTGACACCAAAGGGGGTGCGCATGGGGTGGTCCCTGAGCGTGCCAGGGTCGGAAAGCGTGGCAGGCGTGGCACGTCCCTGACACCAGAGGGGGTGCGCAAACGGTGGTCCCTCAGCGCGGCCTCTACGCGCGCCAGAGTCGGAAACCGTGGCAAGCGTGGCACCTTCCTGACACCAGAGGGGGTGCGCAAGGGGGTGGTCCCTCAGCGCGGCCTCTCGCGCGCACAGGTCGGCAAGCGTGGCAAGCGTGGCACGTTCCTGACACCAGAGGGGGTGCGCAAGGGGGCGGTCCCTGAGCGCGGTGCTTCTGCGAGCCAGGGTCGGAAAGCGTGGCAGGCGTGGCAGCGAGGACTGCAGACACCCGGCTCGAGTGCAGCAGGTGCCACCTCGCCGCCAGCGCGCCGCGCATGCTGCCCTCCACTGGACTTTCTGCCGCCTCCGTGCCTGAAGCCAGGAAGTGCCACGACAGGCGCGGGCGTCGAGCTTAGCATGGTGAGCTCGCGCAGTTGCCAGACAGCTGCAGTGAAACACGCACCTAAGCCTGACCATCGACAGCTGGGAGGGAGGCGGAGAAGAGGGGAGGGCTGGGAAAGACTCGACTCGATTCGCCCTGAGGCGCCAGCATGTCCAGCGTCTCGTGCTAGCAAGGTGGCGCAGAGAAAGGAAGGATTTCGCTGACCCAAAAGGGGGTCCAGCTGAAAGGGAAAGGTGCTATAAATTTGGGAAAATTGTATTGCAAATGCACTGCGCCGGAGAATTGTATCGCACTAATTTGCGCCCCGGAATGTATTACACGACCCAAATGTATTGCAACCCCACGAATGTATTGCACCGAATCTATTACACCACCACCTTGTGTTGGACCCCCTGTTGGGTCAACCCAAGAGGAGCCGAGCACGTCGCCAGGAGATGAAGGTGCGCAGAGGCCTGGGCGTCCCCCCGGAGGTCCGGCGCGAGGAGGATTCGGGTTCCTGTGCGCTGTCAGCTTTTTGCGGGCCTCTGGAGGCCTCCAGGAGGACGAAAGGGAGGAGGATGAGGAGACGGAGGAGACGGATGAGACGGGGGAGGAAGAGGAGGAGGACAAGGAAAAAGAGAGAGAGAGAGGGGAACGGAAAGAGGCAGCGCCCCCCTCGCCCAGACGCAACACTTCCTCGACTCCTGAGGGCGTGCGATGTATACGTAAGATCAGCTGAAATAAGAATGTGGAGTTCCTCGGTATCGTTATTTCTCTATTCGCCGACGCGTGCCGGCCGACCTGGAACTCTAAAGCGGATCTCATCGTTTATGCGCAATCGGAAAGAAAGGAAGATGCGTGCATTGGAGAAGGAGGCGGCGGATGAGCAGGAGGAAAAGGATGAGGAGAACGAGGAAGGAGAAGGACGAAGATGAACAATAGCAGCAGGAGCTGGAGCGGAAGGAGCGGGAGGAACAGGATCAGGGAAACGCGGAGGAGGGGAAATCAGGGGGGCACCAAGGACGAAAAAAGATACGGATCCGCTGGGGCCAAAGTGCCATTCTGAACGACGGGAGCAAAGCGCCGATCCTAAAATGAGGCCCTCGCTGCAGCAGGAACGCTGTATCGGGTGGGGGAGACTCATGCGGGCTGCGCCAGTGGGACCTTCTGTGGAGCGCCCTATGGGGCCACGAGACGCTTTACTGGGTGGGGGAGACGCATGCGGGCTGGGCCACTGGGACCTTCGGTGGAACTCCCTATGGGGCCACGGCGCGCCATACTCGGTGGGGAGACACATGGGCTGCGCCACTGGGACCTTCGGTGGAGCTCCCTATTGGGCCACGAGACGCTTTACTGGGTGGGGGAGACGCATGCGGGCTGCGCCACTTGGAGCTTCGGTGGAGCTCCCTATGGGGCCACGAAGCGCTGTACTGGGTGGGGAAGACGAATGCGGACTGCCCCACTGGGAGCTTCGGTGGAGCTCCCTATGGGGCCACGAAGCGCTGTACTGGGTGGGGAAGACGAATGCGGGCTGCGTCACTGGGAGCTTCGGTGGAGCTTCCTGCGGGGCCACGAAACGTTGTACTTACTGGGTTTGGGAGTCGCATGCGCGATGCGCCATTGGGACCTCTGGTGGAGCTCTGCATGGGGCCACGAAAGGCTGTATCGGGTGGGGGAGACACATGCGGGCTGCGCCACTGGGACCTTCGGTGGAGTTCTGTATGTTGCCACGAAACGCTATACTGGGTGGGGGAGACGCATGCGGGCTGCGCCACTGGGACCTTCGGTGGAGCTCCCGATGGGGCCACGAAACGCTGTACTGGGTGTGGGGGACGCATGCGGCCTGCGCCACTAGGACCTTAGGTGGAGATCCCTATTGGGCCACGGAGCGCTGTACTGGGTGTCGGAGACGCATCATGACTGCGCCACTGGGACCTCCGGTGGAGCTCCCTATGGGACCACGAAACGCTGTAGCGGGTGGGGGGGACGCATGCGGGCTGCGCTACAGGGACCCAAGAAACGCTATACTGGGTGGGGGAGACACATGCGGGCTGCGCCCCTGGGACCTTCGGTGGAGCTCCATATGGGGCCACAAAGCGGTGTAATGAGTGTGGGAGAGAGACGCATGCGGGCTGCGCCACTGGGACCTTCGGTGGAGCTCCCTATGGGGCCACGAGGCGTTGTACTGGGTGTCGGAGACGCATGCGGCCTGCGCCACTGGGATTTTCAGTGGAGCTCCCTGTGGGGCCACGAAACGTGATGATGATGATGAGGATGATGATGCTGCTGCTGCTGCTGATAATGATGATGATGATGATGATGATGATGATGATGATGATGATGATGATGATGCTGATGATGATGATGATGATGCAGATGCAGATGCAGATGCAGATGCAGATGCAAATGCTGGTGATGATGATGAGGATGAAGATGACGATGGTGATGATAATAATAATAATAATGCTAATGCTAATGCTAATGCTAATGCTAATGCTCATGCTAATGATGATAATGATGATGATGATGATGATGATGATGATGATGATGATGATGATGATGATGATGATGATGGGAGGAGGCAGGAAGGGGAGGAGGAGAGGAGAGGAGAAGGAACGCGGGGCGGTCTCTTCAATACGAGGACCCAACACCACAGGATGGTTGGGACAAAAAGATCCAACAGAAATCAAAACATGGCAAAGTTGTCACCAAGTTAGTTTTGTTTGACTACTATGGAAGATTCCTCCTGTAGAAGGACACGCGCGACTTAGAACTGGGCGTGCATGTCGGTCCGACCGGCTCGTGGCTCTCAGCCGCCGCCCGTCACCTCCGCCGTCGCCGCTGACAACTCAGCTTTAGTGGCTGCCAGTGGCTGCCAGTGGCTGCCTCGTCGCCGCCCGCCGCCGCCCGTTGCTGCTGGATCGCACTGCACTGCAATCGCATGGAGTTGCATCTGGAGGAGGAGGACGAGGAGGAGGTGGAGGAGGAGGAGGAGGAGGTGGAGGAGGAGGAGGAGAGGGACGAGGGGGAGGAGGAGAAGGAGGAGGAGGGGATGCATTGCTTTGCATCGTATCGCATCGCACTGCTTGGCACTGCGCTGTACTGCTCTGCTCCACATCGACTGCACCCGGGGAATCCAAGCGGCACCGATACCGCTGCTCCCTGGACCTCTCCCGGGGTGCGTTCTGACCAGACTCTCGAGGCGAATCCAGTGATGGCGACGAGGGCCTCCCAGGAGGCCGAACAGGGGGAACCTGGTGGGCGCGAAGGGCAGCGGTATCGGTACCTGCTCCTCCTCTGAATACCACATTAACTACGATCAAAAACGGGTTGTACGGAGATGGCATACCGACCTAACGCCGCAGCTTACGCCGGCCGACAGCGCGGCACGCCACAGTGGAGACGAGGGCGCGTACGCGCGTCCTCACGCGGGCAGCTTGCGCGCCAATGTCGATGACGACGACCCCGCTGTTTAGCGTCGCTCACATGTAGTGCACCACCTGGATCCTGAATTGCACCACCTGTTTGGAGAGGTGGCGACGAGTGCCTCCCACGAGGCCCCAAAAAGGGGACAGCGGGCGCAAAGGGCAGCCGTATGGGTACCTTTCCTTCTCTGACTGCTGGCGGGGGGGCGTCGACCCCCAGAATTCTCGACCCATTCCGACCGATCTCTCACCCTGAGTCGTTTCTTGACGGTCCTGAGGCCCAGTAAGGGCCCCCAGAAGCCGAACACGGCGAAAAACCTCCCGTCGTAATCTTTTCGTGACCAGAGGGGGTCTGGGCTTATGCTGTTCCCATCGCACTTCAGGACCACATTCCAGAAACAATTTCGAGCACCCAGAAAGTATCGAAACGGTGTCGAACGAATATCGCCTCCCGGGGCCCGACGCGTGAAAACCCTCCAAGTTCGGAGCTCTCCTGGTGCTCGAGACTCCTTTTTTGGTGGTCAAGGCTGAAGCAGGTTGGAACATCACACGTTGAGTAGGGACCGACCGTCCCGGCATTCCTATAGTCCTTCCACAAAACGTTCTTAGAACCGGAAGTGTTCTAAGAACAAAAACAATGTTCTTAGAACAAAATCCCGATGTGATACAACAAAACAATCCCAACCAGAAATGTTCTGAGAACATTTCGTTGGAACCACAAAAGGCTCTTAGAACATTGTTTGGTAGGGCTACTGGCCAGCCAGGACGCTTCGCCACTGCTTGAATCACAAGACCCGATGTTGGAGGCCTGGAAATGGGCACCAACACCAACACAGGAGAGTGCCTCCTCAGGGGGAAGATGATCCTGGATTTCGATGTTGGTGGTAACAGTTCGGTCACCTTGGAAGCCAGAACATCACCACCACCACCGAGATCGGGATTCTCTTCCGTCGGTGGAGGCACACCGCCGATATTGGTGTTGGTGTCAACCTCTAGGCCTGCGACGATGGTGCGGGACGGGAAAATGACCACAGCCACTGCTTCTTGTTTGCGCCGCCTTCCAGCCGGCCGAAAAAGAAGCAGTGGTTGTGGTCGTTTGCCTGGTGCCAAGCCCAACGAAAATGACCACATACTGCTTTGTTGCTGCGGGCTGGAAGGCGGCATCAAAAGAAAGCAGTGGCTGTGGTCGTTTTCACGCCCCGTAGATGGGGGTGCCCGGCGGGCCTCCGCGGCCTGCGCGGCGCTGCGCTGCGGGAAGCGCAGGAGCCCGGCGCCGCCGGCGGCCTGCGCGGCCTGCGGTGCGGAGCAGGGCAGCCGGGCGGCCCGGGCGGGCGGGGCAGGCAGGGGAGCACGCGTGGGCGGCTCGCGCCCGGAGGTGCTGCGCTGCCTCGACCCTCCTCCTCCTCATGGATTCTCCTCCTCCCCATCCTGAGTTATCCTCCTCCTCCTCGAGACTCGATCCTCCTCCTCCTCCTCCTCCTCCTCCTCCTCCTCCTCCTCCTCCTCCTCCTCCTCCTCCTCCTCCTCATCCCCCTCCTCCCCCCTCCTCCTCCTCCTCCTCCCCCTCCTCCCCCTCCTCCTCCTCCTCCTCCTCCTCCTCCTCCTCCTCCTCCTCCGCCTCCTCCTCCTCACCCTCCTCCTCCTCCTCCCCCTCCTCCTCCTCCTCATCCTAATTCTCCTCCTCTCCTCCTCCTCCTCCTCCTCCTCCTCTTCCTCCTCCCCCACCTCCTCGTCCTCCTCCTCCTCCTCCTTCTCTCCTCCTCCTCCTCCTCCTCCTCTCCTCCTCCCCTCCTCCTCCTCCTGCTCCTCCTCTTTCTCCTCCTCCTCCTCCTCCCCCTCGATCCTCCTCCTCCTCCTCCTCCTCTACGATCCTCCTTCTCCTCCTCCTTCCCCTCGGTCCTCCTCGACCTCCTCCTTCTCCGCCCTTTTGCGTCTGATACCTGTTGGGCGGACCTCCGCGTGATGAAGAGGTGTTGGGCGAGCTGGGATCAAATCTGGCTCTGGAGGGAAGGCCCGACATGGGATCCTGGAGGCCACTCTCCCCAAGGAAGGCGCCGCTGCAGGGACGGAGTCTCACGCAGGCCCAGAAATCTTGCGAAGTCCCTTCCTGCCCTTCTCCTCCACCTTCAAGATTCGAACTGATGGCGCGTGCATCCGTCGGATGCTGTCCCTCCCCCGCGGACATCGCCGCTGAGGGGGTTTGAAGAGAAACGTAAGAAGACGGATACGAATACGAATAAGGCTTATAAGCGTACGCATAATCAGAAAGGAGAAGACGATGAGAAAGAAGAAGAGGTCCCGCCCCCTGGGCACCGTCTGCGCACGACAAGCGAGGCTGGGCCACAGGCTTACTCCGCCCCCCGGGTGGGGGCATCCTCCTCCTTCTCGAAGCCGCCCATCCTCCTCCCCCTCCCCCTCCCCCCTCCCCCCCCTCTCCTCTCCTCCTCCTCCTCCTCCCCTCCTCCTCCTCCTCCTCCTCCTCCTCCTCCCCCTCCGCCCATCCCCCTCCCCCTCCCCCTCCCCCTGCTCCTGCTCCTCCTCCTTCTCCTCCTCCTGCTCCTCCTCCTCCTCCTCCATCCGCTGCGCCGCACCCCCGAGATCGGCCACCAGCGATCGCTGCACCAATATACAGCGTGCCAGAGGGCCGGCAGCGGCAGCAGCAGCAGCAGCAGCAGCAGCAGTCCCCGGTGCACATTCGGGCAAGGACGGTGGGAACGGCCAGCATCGGATCGAAGGATCGGCTCGGATCGGAAACTCGAGGAACAACCGGCCGCATCCACAGAAACTTCCGGAGCTCCGCGCCGGTTTCTTGCATCGGCGCTGGGCTGGACCCCCGTCCTGGGCGCGCGAAGCGCGACAGGGGCGGCGCCGGAGGCGCCGCCGAGGGCATCCAGCACAGATCCAAGAAATCCTTGCAGAGCTCCGCAAACATATCTATTGTTATAAAACTGTCTTTAACATATTTTTTCCTTCGAGAACGTGCGCCGCATCGGGCCGCATCGGCGAGGAGCATGAGGCGCAGGAGCAGTTTGCACGCATCCACCCCACCAGTCGCTCAGACTGGCCAACCTCTGAATGCATGCTGGAGGGGCGAAAATGGTGCAACACTTGCTGACCACATGTGGCAACACTCCTCGACAACATCGAAAAACGTCCCATGGCCCCCTTCGAGCCACGTCCGGAAACCATGGGATGTCTGCCCTGGAAAGTGCGCCGCCGAGATGAGGAGTAAGTGCAGGATCCCGAGCATAAAACAGGAGAGAGAGGGAGGGAAGCTGGAGGCGGCGGGGGGTCTCAATTGGTTGGGGCCCTACAAAGCCTATCAGGAGGAGGGGATGAAGCCAAATCCGCTCAAAGTAAGCCCCCGGTCCCCGGACCCACCTGGGGTCCACATGTTACAATTTTCAACCCCAGCTTTAGATCGGGCATGTCCTCCTACAGGCGGATTTTGGGCGACACATTTTCGAAAAAGTCAAATTATACCTCCAAATGGTCAAAAGTAGTTGGAAAGTCGTCCCCAAACTATTCTTTGGACTATTTTGGAATACCCCTCTTGTAGAGGGACAGGCCCGACTTGACCCCAGATCCGTGTTCGACGGCCCCGGGGCCCGAACAGGGCCCAGGGGGGGGGCCTTAATGTGCGCCCATCGCACTTCAGGACCACATCCCAGAAATAACTTCGAACACCCAAGAGGCCCCCGAAAGGCTCCCAAGAGGTGCAAGATACCCCCAAGAGGCCCCCAAGAGGCCCTAAGATGCCCCCGCGAGACCCCTCAGGAGGCCCCCAAGAGGCCCCCAAGCGGCCCCAGGAGGCCCCCCAAATGCCCCCCCAAGCACGCAAGCGAGTGCCAGCGATGTTACAATATGGGCCGGCGGAATGAGCGAAGCGATTGAATAATTTCGAACACCCGGAAAAGTGCCGAAAGAGTGTCGAAACAACGTCGGACGAGTGTCTCCCAGGACCCGGCACGTGAAAGCCCTCGAGATTCGGCTCGGCACTGTTCTGGGGCTCGAAGTTCTTTCTGGTGATCAAGGCTAAAGTAGGTTGGAACATCATAACTCGAGCAAAGAGCAACGATACCTTCCCATCCCTCTGCAGCCAGTGCTCAACCACCTCAGGCCCCCAACTGGCCTCAAGGAGGAAGAAAGATGGGAGGTGCAAGATCGTAGGACGCCGAGATGCACACCGCCACTAGATGTCCTCCTTGGACGAGCGCGTCCGACCCGAACACATGGTACAACCATCTTGCCATATATCGGGGGCGCGCAAACATGGATTAGCGATCCATGGGTTTGGCGCGCGGTCGCCAAATCTATGGATCGTGGGAGGTGCCCTCCCCAAAATGCGGCCGGTGCCGCCTCGTTCAGCGGCGGAAATTCTTGATTTTCCAAATGGAAAAGCCGGGGCCCGTCGCTAATCCACGCCCCCCTGATCCATGTTTGCGATCGCCTGAATATACTATTTCCCGAGCGGTGTGGCCAGAACGCGCCCGCCACGACGCACATGCTAAAGTGTCTCTTGGTGCGCGCGTCGCCCCTGGGAGGGGGGAGACGCACACGTAGCATTGGTATGTTGGGGTGACGCCGAGATCAGCTCGACAGCCCCCCCACGCAGGCGCTCCTGGGCGCTCCTGGGCGCTCCTGGGCGCTCCTGGGCGCTCCCCGGCGCGCCGAAGCGCTCCCAGGCTCTCCCAGGCGCTCCCCGGTGCTGCCAGGCGCTCCCCAGCGCGCCGAAGCGCTCCCAGGCGCTCCCAGGCGCTCTGCAGGCGCGCCCCGGCGCTCCCCCCCCCGTCCCCCCCCATGTCCCCCGTCTGCCTCCGGGGGCTACGCCTCCCGCGGCGTGCCGCTCGGCGCACTGGGTTCCCCAGTCTTCCATTGCGCTGACGTGTTCTCCGTCCACGGGCGCGTGCCATAGCCGACCTGGAGCTCCCCCCAAAGACCCCTATCGTGCTAAAGGTGCGCAATCGGAGGCGAGGAGCTGCGTACACAGGAGGAGGAGGAGGAGGAGGATGAGGAGGAGGAGGAGGAGGAGGAGGAGGAGGAGAACAAGAAGGAGGTGGCGGTGGCGGGTGAGCAGTTGGAGGAGCAGGATGAAGAAGGAGGAACAGGCGGAGGATGTGGAAGGAGGAGGACGTGGACGAGCAGCAGCAACAGGAACTGGAGCGCAAGGAGCCTGAGGAGCAGGAGAGCCAGGGGAAGGCGGAGAAGGAGAAAAAGGAGGGGCGGCAACGATGAGAAAGGACTCGGGTCCAGAAACGTGTCCCGCGCTTAGTGGGCCCTGGAACCGACAAGGCCATTTTTGTTACCGGTTCCGTTTTGCCGTTTTTTTTGCCGGTTCCAACGCCGTTGTTCAACCGGTTCCGTCGCCGTTTTTGACCGGTTCCGGCTCCGGCTCCAATCCTGGAGCCGTTTATTTGCCGTTTCCGGTCGCCTTTTTTGCCGTTTCCATTTTCAAAGGACATTTTTTGGAAACGGTGAAAAAACGGCCATGCCGTTTCCGGGGCCCCCAAAGGTCCCGCGCTGCGTCGAGAGCGCCGTTCTGAGCCACGGGAGCACATCGCCGATCCGAGAACGAGGCCCCCGCTACAGTGGGAACGCCATGCTGGGAACCGCCGGCAACCATCGGATGTTAGGCAAAAGCGCAAGCAAGACAGCCTTTGCCCAGCCCTGCGTGCAAAAGTAAGGGAAAACAAACCTACCTCGCTTTTGACCACCCTCGCTTCCAAGAGATACCAAGCGATGCCAAACTACGGCCTGTACTGGTCAGGCCGCTTGACGAGGAGGCGCTTGGTATGACTTGGTTTTGCCTGGAAGCGAAAGCGGGGTAGGTAATTCACGCCCTGAATGACAAGAACAATTCAGGAGGGGCGAACACACACAGACGCAAGGCATCGTCGACTCCTTAAAACAATGCGGGAGAAGAGCGGTACTTGACAACGGCCTCTTACCCGACAGTTCCAATCGGAGCACCTTCGGCGCCTGAGCCCGCGTGACCGCCGAGCGGGCAGCTGAACGGGCTCAGTTCCGACAGGGCCGCGGGAGTTGAGCACGCTCGGCCGCCGAAGGGGCTCGATCGTGGGTCCACTCGGCGGCCCGATGGGCTCCGACGCCAAAGTGGGCTAAGAAGGGAACCCTGGGGCAAATCCTGTGAAGGAGACGATCAACCCTAAAGGGGCGATAATGAACCCCCTGGGATAGCAAAGTGCGCGGTTCCCGCGGGGAAAAGAAAGGATTTTCCTGGGGAAGGTAAGTTATGATGATCATGATGATGGTGACGATGATGGAGGAGGAGGAGGAGGAGGAGGTTAAACCAGGCGCACGACAGAAGCCTGACTCGAGCGATCTCTTGTCTCGTGGCTACTTGCCCACAGAGGCGCACTACACAGAGATTACTCGAGAGATCTCGAGGCTCGTGGCTACTTGCCCGCAGAGGCGCAGGACACAAGGCTGACTCAAGCGATCTCGAGGCTCATGGCTGGGCGCCTAGATTTTGCTAGCGCAAGAGAGGTCCTTGGCCGATCTGGCTAAGAAACCCCTCTTGCGCTGGACTTCGAACGATTATTAGCGTTTTTGATGCTGTTGCCAATCAACCTGATGTGATAATTCGCAACTTCGATCCCCGCAACTTTTCCGTGGATCATCAAGTTCGGCCCCCGCGCCTTTCCCACAGATGGATCCCTGTGGGCGGGTATAAAACATAGAGGGGGTTAAGGGGGGGGCATCTTTATCATCGCCCGTTGCGGGTCGATCAGGACGGCCCTCTCCCCCCGAGTCGGCGTCGAGCGAGGGGGGACATCAGAAGGAGAAGGCCCTCTCAGAAGGCGGCGGGACTTGTCATCTCAAAGAAGTTTAGGGGGCTTCTGAGAAGGCGGCGCGACGCTCGCGCCTTGTGAGAAGTCTTGCTGCGTCTTCGGGGAGAAGGCTTCGAAGACTTCTCAGAAGACGGGGGGGCTTCCGAGCCTTCTGAGAAGGCCCGCCCCCTTTTCACTTCCCCCCCCGCTCGCCGCCGATCGAATCCGACCTGGTCATGGGAACTGAGCCCGCTCGGCCGCTGAATGGGCTCAGAAAGGCACCCTGGGGCGAGCGGCGACGACGGCGCCGGCCCCCAGGACCTCCAAAGGCCTAGACCCGGCGGCGGCGACGACGACAACGTCGCGGGCGACATCGGCGACGACGGCGGCGGCGATCGCGCCGGCGAGGCGGCGGCGGCGGCGGCGGCCTCGACGACGGCGGCGGCGGCACCGGCGGCGACGAAGTCGCCGACCGACGGCCGCGGCGGCCCTGGCGCCGACGGCGGCGACCGCACCGACGAGGCGGCGGCGGCGGCCTCGGCGGCGGCGGCGGCGGCGTTGGCGGCGGCGGCGGCGCCGAGCGGCGGCCGCCGCGGCGAGCGGCCACGCCCCCGCCTCGTCGTTGGGGCGGGAGGAGCGGATGCTCGGGGGGCTGCTCACGGGGATGCCGCCCCCGCCGCCCTCACCTGCGGTCGCGCGCACGCGCTCGGGAGGGGGGGGGCACAGGGCTTCCCGTGCTGCGAAAGCAGGGAGCACCGCCCGATCCTCGGAGCGGGGCCCACGCCTCTGAGCCGCCATCGGCCCCCGTCCGAGCCTCCGGGAGGCTCGGGGACCTCCAAAGACCTCTTGGGACCTGCAGAGATCATGCCGGCCGCGCCAATGTTGGCGCGTGTTGTTCTTGCAACGATCCGTGCTTGTGCGAACCGCACGCAGTACTTTTACTGCTCTAGCTTTCTGCCGATCGCGACCGAACAGCATCCCGGCTGGCCTCGGGAGCAGCCCCCGCGGGGCACCCGGAGGGTCCAGAAAGAGAGAGCGGTTCAGGCGGGCGCGAGCGCGACCCAGGCATACGACGGTGTCTCTTTTAACCGAACCCCATCCCCACCAGCGTGGGCTGGGCTCCACTGGCCGATTTACCCCCTTAGATGGGGATATAGGTCGTTCCCTTCGGGTTTCGAAGGGTGTATCCCCAACTGGGGTGGTAATTTGGTGGGGGTCTCCAAGAGGATGGGCATGGGGATGGGGATCGGTGAAACGACACTGGTTTGTGCCTCCTCGCGCAGGCCCCAGAGGTCTTGACCCTCTCCCTGAAGGGCCCCGCACGTTCTCGTCCCAGGTCCATGCTTCAGAGTCCCGGGGCGAGAGACGCCTCCTGCCCAGATCATTAGATACCAAATGCTGTTCGGTCGCGATCGTGGTACCTGGCCGAGGATTCTGCTACGGTTTTCGGCCTCTGGGGGCCCTCGCTGAGCCCCGGGACTGGCACAGAGCGGCTCAGAGGACGAAAAACTGGTCCTGGCCCGGCCAGGGAGAGTGTCGATCGGGACCTCCGGGCGCCGCGTCTTGAAAGCATCCAGACGTCGCAAGTCTGGGGAAGCACCTCGCCTTCGGACGAGAACGAAGGAGCAACACGTCAGCTTTGTAATTTGTTGGCGCTGCGACATTGGGCGGAAGGGGGGGGAGGGGGGGGTCTGGCTCCAGAAATCTGCTTAACTAGGGCGACTGTTTGCAGCAGTGCGTCCATTATGGGGGAGGCTCCACCTGCTCGAAACCAGCGCCATCAAAAACAGCCAAGAGCCAGGATCTACTCCAGGGGGGGGGAGGAAGGGGGGTTTTGGGGCCCGCGCCGATCGGCAAAACAATGAACAAAAGACGACCACCACGCTGACAGGCTTCCAAGCCGCGGCTGTCATTGATGCTGCTCTTGCCCCGCGACGGCTGAGCGAGCCGCGGGCCCGCGCGGCACTCGACACCCGCGCGAATGTGCTCCGCTCGTCATCCCGACTGGTTGTTCGACGCCCTTGCGCGGAAGCGGCCTCCCCGCACATCCGACGCTGGCTTGCTTCCGACTGCAGCGCTGGGCCCCGCCCACGGCCCCGACCCTCTCCTGGCCATCGCTCGGACGTCCATTTCCTGTGTTTTCTTCGGTTTCGTGCGTGGTTTTTCCGCGAGATGATCAAGGATGCTCCTCGATGGTCCTCGCCGAAGGAAAAATGCACACGTCCGAGCGATGCCAGGTCTCCAAGCAGGGCCGGCTCCTCGTCCCGAGCGCAAGATCCGACGGCCCCGGGGACCCGAGAGGGGCCCCCTGGAGGGGAGGCCGACAACAGCGGGCACATGTGCGCCCTGTGTTGCCATGAAGCCGACCCGTACACCTTGCGAAATGCTTAAGAAATCATGGGTTAAGAAATTCAGAGTCTCAGAACTTGACTAAAAACCCACAAATTCTATTAAAATCTTAGGATTTACGTTGAAACATTAAGAATAATCGAGACCCTGGCCGAAAATTTAAGTTTTCTTAAGCATCGCCTAAGGTGTAGAGCAAGGGGTCACGACAAGCATGCAAGGGCCTCGAGAAAAGGGGAATGCAACATATGTTCTCCGACCGAGGCTGGCAAGCGGAAGTCGCCGAGACTGTGACGAGGGGGCAAGGATGCAAGGGTAGCCTTGGAACGCTGCTCATCCGCACTATGCGGGTTAACTGTAAGACCGTGGATAGCAGGGACCGACGAACGCCCGTAGTCGTACTCTTCAGTCTTGAGGGGCCTGGCGGCTGGGGAGGGGGAGCGCCGCGGAGGGGCACACCGACTGCGTCATCCGCGCTCTGCTTCTGAGCGGTGAAGAAGCGGTCCTGCCGGAGAACGGGGGGCGGCGGCGGCGGGGGCTGGAGGTCTCCTCCTCCTCCTCCTCCTCCTCCTCCTCCTCCGCTTCCACCACCAGATATGGCCAGATATGGTAGGGCAGGCCGGGCGACTCGCCTGACACGTCCTCGCCGCTTGTGATCATGAAGCTTGATATTCACAGCTTCACGGATGGAGGGCGAGCCGTTTGTCAACATGTGGCCTTCGCCGTGGCGTCGCGCGCATTTGTCACACACACAGACACACACAGGCATACGCACACTCAACCACTCACTAACACACACACCAACCCACAACAATTCAACAAGTCTACGAATGGAAAGCGGATTGCTTTAAACATCTTGCTATCGCTGTAGCCCCGCGCGCATTCGTGTGGGAAGTGTGTCACAACTTCATGGATGGATGGCGGCCGTACGTATATACATATACATTTATTTATATATATATATACACACATACATAAATACCATCATTTCCGCCTTAGCGCCGCGATCATTATTTTGTAATGTTCCCACCTTTTTCAATGATGACAAATGGCTCTCTTTCAAAGTGCTGCTTGCATGAAAACCGTGCACATTCGTTTTGCAAGTACGCAGCAGCTCCGAGGATTCCCATGGCCGAAGTCGTAGGACTGGTGTTTGGCAAGATTCAGGATTCGCGGCGTTGAAGTTCTGGCGACGATGTGTTGGCAGGATGTGCGGTTGTCAGGACGCAGCCACCACCCTGTGTCGCAACGATCAAATCCCAACGCTGGTGATTTGGCAAGATTGAAGAGTACCATACAGTTGTCTTGCATGGGGCGATTCCCGTCGTGAAACTGATTCCTTTTGGGGCCCATGGAAAAAAAAATGGGAAGGAGGGTTTACTGCAACATCGTGAGCGCGTCTTGGATCTACACGGGTCCCCCTCATCCCCCTCCCCCTCTCTCCTCCTGATAAGTCTGCCCCAAACGCGGTGCGCCCTGCGTTCCTCGCTGGGCGCAACTGCGACTGAGGAAAAAAGCCTCAAAACAACGGTGGCGAGAAGCTTACACGAAGTCCCCAGGGCTTCGTGTCCCACCGCGGCGTCTGCCAGCGCGGCAGCCAGCCCGGCTGCTTGCTCTTCGCCCACGGTCCGAGGGCCCGAGGGGCCCGAGGGAGGTCCGCAACTGCCGCGCTGCGGCGCGGCGGAAAGCGACGCAGATTTCCGCGTCCCAGCGCTGCGCCAACGCTCTCGCGGTCGCTGCGACTGCCAGGCCGTCCCCTGATGCACGCGCCTGCTCCCCCGCGAGGCAGCGCACGTGGGATATCGGATCGCCACCTCGGCCATCCGGCCCTCCGTTCGTTGTGCAGGGATCGACCGCTCCGGCATTTCCATAGGCCCACCGCGACATGTTCTGAGAACCCGCAAATGGTATAATAACAAAAGCGATGTTCTTAGAACAGGGGCCCCATGTGTTTTAACAAGACAGCTCCAGCCAAAAGCGTTTTGGGAACAGTTCGTGCAGACCACCATGGAGTCTTAGAACATTCTTCGGTGGGCCAACAGGCGAGCCAGGACGCTTCGCCACCGTTTGATCTTAACGGGCGAATAGGCGGTATGTAACCAACTGGTTCGCTATCGGGGGCGCCTGTCACTGGGCGGCTGGAAAGTTTCTACCCTCACGGTGGCACCGTAGTGGCATAAACTTCCAGCCGCCCAGGGACAGGTTTTTTTTACATCAACGCCAACGCCTCCAAAACCCTGGACTGACCAAGGTAGCGAGCCAGCAGCGGAAGGGGGATGCTGGCTCCCTGACACAGGCCAAAAGTCCGAGTCATCAGCGCAAAGGAAACAGCTCGAGAGACCAAAAGGTTCTCTGCGTCCTGGTGCCATCTTCCTCTCCCTCTGAGATGCGGGGCATGCGCAAGGCGATTGCGAAGGCGATGTGCCGTCCGAGCTATGGATGTTGAAGTTCCTCGGAAGAGGTGGTGGCCAAACCTTCTTGGGCGGGATATCTGGGTGAGGGAATATCGGATCCCGCATGCCAGAAAAATCCCCCATGATGGGGTGTGTTATCCAGATGGATGCATGTGTCATGTGGAAGCATGGCGCATGAGGGTAAAATGAGCAAAAATTATGTTACGCCGTTCTTCGCTCGCTGACAACAGGCGAGCCAGGACGCTGCGCCACGGCTTGCTCTCCCGGACCCGCGGGGGGGAGCGGCCACGGGCCCCCGCCGCTCGCAGCAGCGGCGGCGCGGGCCCCCGCGGCCGCCGCCAGGACGCGCGCGCCCCTCGGCACGCTGCAGCTGCAGGGGCACCAGGACACACAAAGAAATGCACACAAATCAAAGGATTCCCCATATTTTCCCATATTTTCTGGGTTGTTGTCCTCCCCTCCCCCCCGCTTCCCATATTTTCCCATATTTTTCTGGGGGATCGACGATTCATCGTGTGTGTGTGTGTGTGTGTGTGTGTGTGTGTGTGTGTGTGTGTGTGTGTGTGTGTGTGTGTGTGTGTGTGTGTGTGTGTGTGTGTGTGTGTGTGTGTGTGTGTGTGTGTGTGTGTGTGTGTCTTTCCCTCCTGAGTAGCGAGCGGTGGCATCCGCCAGCGCCTTGGGGCAGCCGCCGCGCTGCGCCTCTAAGCCTGGGGGGCGTCTCCTCGAAAGGCGCCCCGCAAGCGCTCCGAGGGCCGCCGGGCGGAGCGTCGCAGCCGCGCGCGGCGCAGCCAACCGCGGTGCAGCAAGCACCAGCGCCATCGGCCCCAGGCTGGAAACAGAGCGTCGCAGCCGCGCGCGGCGCAGCCAACCGCGGTGCAGCACCAGCGCCATCGGCCCCAGGCTGGCAACACCATCTGCCGGGCCGCGCGGAGACCGCGCTCCTGGTGGGTGCGGCCCCACAATTCCTCGACATCGCTGCTGCGAGCCTTCGTGCCTCCGCCGCGGGCGCGCCGAAAGGCGCACCGCGCATTGCAAGACGAAGCCAGGCTAGGACAAGAAAAACATCGGGTGCGGATACATCGGGAATCTCTGAGATCTGGCGGCTCTGGAAGATGTCTCGGGCGACGTGGCTCCTCAGATTCTCAGAGCGCCCCGGAAAGCTCTGACAGCGCTCCGGAACGCTCTGGAATGGACCCCTCCTCGTCTTCACCCCGCCGACCTTGCGGCAGAGCTGCTGATCGCAATGCTGCCTCGTCCGCTCGCCACTCCACAAGCGGTTGCAGCAGCGGCTGCCCGCGGGCGCGCCAGCCCACCCCCCGAAGTTCCTTTCAATCCCTCCCCGTGTCTTCCATCCCAGAACTCCCCCCTCCGTCCTCCCCCCTCGCCCTGCATCTTCTCCAAATTCCCCTACATCGCGCCCACTCCGTGTCCTTCCATCCCTTTTTCGTTATAGACGGCCCTTCCCTGTCGCACCCCGTTCGTAGGGCGTCCTGTCGTTCCTGTCGCACCCTGCTGTCGCTGTCGCGACCATGATAGACAACCCTTCCCTGTCGCACCCTTGAAGTATAGATCGTCATCCCTTCCGCAGGGCGAGCTGAGCATTTCGTCTCAGACTTCCTCGTCGCGCGTCAGCCTAGAACTCTAAGTTTGCAACAAGCTGTGCAGCTGGAGGGGGCCGCTTTCTTCAAGAAATGGGCGCTCGCCTATGGCGCCGCGCACGTCCGCCTTGCACGCTTGCAGCAGGAGATCGCAAAGACGGAGTGCCAATGTTTCTCAAAATGGGACTCTTGCCTGAGAACCGGGCGCATTCTCATGCAGACTTGCAGCAGCTACGCGGATGGAAGGCGTCTGCTTGTAAGTTCGCGGCTCTCGCCTTAACGACGCACGCATACGTCTGAAAAGCTCTCCGAAGCTAGTGAGACGATAGGTGCATAGGCAACATGAATTAGCGCCATCTGGGAACATTCGACTTACACACTTGCAACAGCTATACGGATGTATGAAATGTGTGGGCTTTCATTACGGGGCTTTCGCCTGAGCTTGCAACAACTACAGGGGCGATAGGCGAGTGGGGGTCATCAAAAAGGAGATCGTACCTTAGCGCCGCGCACATGCAACCGCTACCGGATGGAGGGCGATTCATTTTCAAAATGGGTCTGTCGCCTCAACGCCACTCACACTCACTGCAAAAGCTTGCAGTAAGTAAATAACCAAGACGTGCATCCTTTTCAAAATGTGACTCCTGCTTAAACACCGCAAACAATCGTCTTAAGCGCTTGCAGTAATTACGGCGGTTCGTTTTCACAATGTGGTTTTCGCATCAGACGTCCTTAAACTCAACGGCCCAAAGAGTTGAACATGTATAGCAATTGCACGGATGGATGGCGGATCCTTTTCAAACTGGGGCTCCCTCTCTCCAGACGTCCCTCTCCCCCTCCTCCCTCCCCCCCCTTGTCTCCGACAACCACCCCTCCGCCCCAGCTTCACTTCCCCAAAACACGGCTCCTCCCCCCTCGTATCTCCCTCCCTCCCTCCTCCTCGACCCCCTCCCCGCGCCCTACCCCCCGCCGCCAGCCCCCCTTCTAGAGCGGCTCCCTCCTCCAAGCCCCAGCCCCCTCCTCCCGCCCCAGACCCCCGACGTAATGATTTTTTCATTACGTCGACCCCCAGAGGTCCCGACCCTTTCCCCATGACCGGCTTTGCATCCTGAGTCGTTTTTTGACGCTCCCGAGGCCCGGTGAGGGCCCCCGGAGGCCGAAAATGAAGGAAAACCTTCCGTCATGATTTTTCATTACTCGAGGGGGTCTGGGGCCCCGCTCCGGGGCCCGAGCGCGAGCCCGAGCCGCAGCCGGCGCCGCAGCTGGTCTCCTCTCCCTCCTGCGTGCTCGCCCTCCTCGTCCCGCCCTCGCGGATGCACCGAGCCTTGCCCGTGCCCTTCCTCCTCCTACGGCAGACGGGTCGTTGTGCTCCTCCAGCTCCTTGTCTAACTCCCAGCTCCTCACCGCCCCTTCGGATTTGACACTACGACCACTCGCCCGCCTCGATACTCCCATTCCTCCTCCGCCTCCTCCGCCTCCTCCGACTCTTCTTCTTCTTCTTCTTCTTCAGCATCATCATCATCATCATCATCATCATCATCATCATCATCAGCAGCAGCAGCAGCAGCATCAGCATCATCATCATCATCAGCATGGTCGTGATGATGATCATCATCATGATCATCATCAGCAGCATCATGATCCTCATTATGTTTGTGATACTCATCATGTTCGTTATAAGCACCAGGGCCATTATCATCAACAACACCATCCTCCTCATCAGCATCATCCTCGTCATCATCATCATCCTCATCATTGTCATAATCACCCTCATATTCGTCATTATAATCCTCATCATCCTCATCAACCTCATCACCATCACAGTCACCACCACCATAAGCATGATCAGCATCATCCTCACCATCAGTATCACAGTCATCAGCATCAGCATCGTCATCATCATCAGCATCATCACCACCAACATCACCATCATCACCATCCTTACCATCACCACTATCATCATCATCACCATCATGATCATCCTCAACATCACCCTCGGGGACGCACTGACTGAAGAGGCCCAGGGACACACAAATAAATGCACACAAATCCCACACTCCGACTTAAGGGTCACGCCCTGCCTCCTCCCTCCACTTCCTCTTCCCTTCTCCCACACTTTAGGAAAACAGGAGCAGCATAAACATCACATTGCGGAGGTCAGCGCGGATGTCTTGCATCTGAGCTGAAGCCCCCTCCCTGGCGCGCGAAGAGGATCCAACGCAGATCCTCGAGATCTGCGCGGAACTCCGAAAAGTTATGTTCATGAAATGTTTTCCTCTTCCGCCCCACCGTGCATGATCGCGACTGCAGGATCAAGGCTCGCCGCAACAGCTTGCTTGAACTTGAAGCTTGTCCCGCGCGGTTCTTCAGTGAGGGTTCTGGACCTCACAAGCAGTCAGCCTCGGTCAGAAAGACAAGAATACGGACGCAAGGCGCGTAGAAAACGCAAAACGAAACGCCATTGAGTAAGAAGGTCGACTGGACAGATGCCAAACTGTGCCCAGAACTGGGCGTGGAGCAAGGGCCATTTTCTTACGGTGCTCACCCTCATGGCCAGTCTTGACACAAAAAGCACGAAAAGGAATGAAGAAGGCTCTTCGGTGGTTGCAAAAGCAAAGCGCCCAAAGCACATCAGGATCTGAACGGCCCACGCTCCTGAGATCCGACGTATCGACAACATGCAAACTCATGACAAACATAAGGAAAAAACACGCCCAGAGCCCTAGACGCGATCTTGCTGATCCGTTCTCGAGCCGGATCAATCTGAGAGGGCCCCTGGGCCCGAGAGGAGGCGAAAACGCCCGGCTCGAAAACACGAAGAAGTCAGGCTCTCACGGGAGCAGGACACCAAGCTGGCGCGCACCGGGGAAGGGTGCGAGGCCAGGGCGCCGCGCGCCAGGAGCCGCAGGGTGCTGGGCCGGCGCGCACTGGGCGACGCCCCGTGCGAAAACCTTCTGCTCCGCGCGTGTGTGGCGGCGCGGCCCGCCCCGGCCAGTCACCTCCCGCTGTTTTGGAGGCCTACAAATTGGCACCAACACCAACACAAGGGGTTGTCTCCACAGGGGGGAGATGATCCTAGATTTCGGTGCTGGTGGTAATATTTCGGTCACCTTGGCAGCCAGAATATTACCACCATCACCGAGATCGGGATCCTCTTCCGTCGGTGGAGGCACACCGCCGATCTTGGTGCTGGTGTCAACCTCCAGGCCCGCGACTGCTGTCTCTCATTCTCCTCCCTCTCTCTCTCTCGTGTGCTCACGTCGGGCTCCTGCCTGCTGGCTGCAGCCTTGGACGGCGCGCGCGGCCCCTCCGCTCGCGCCCGCGAGCCGCGAGAGTGCGGCGGCGCGGCGGCCCCGGCGGCACGCCGAGCCCCGCGGGCAGGCCGCGCGCCGCGCTCCGCCCCGCGGGGAGCGGAGACTCGGGCGGAGCTCGGGAGGCGGGGGGCCGGGGACGCGGACACAGCGGAGGCCCGAGCCATGCGCAGAAGGCTCTGTTGAAGGGGCCCTGGGACACACAAATAAATACACACAAATAAAATAGGGCGACGAGATCTATACATATCCACTGCTCCCTGGCCAGGCCCATCCTGAACCCAGGAGCTGTGTATACGCCCTCCTGGCCAAGCCAGGAGGGCCTCGCGTATACACCGCTGCCGGGCTCACGATGGGCCTGGCCAGGGAGCAGTGGATATGTATAGACTTCGTCGCCCTATAAAAGGACCCCCAACAAATAACAGGATCCCCAAATAAAAGGATCCGCTCGGCGGGAGCGGCCAAGAGGGGGTGTCCAAGAGGGGGGGCGGGTGCAACTCATGACCGGCGGCACGTGCGCGGCCCAGCGGGGGGGGCCAGGGACGTAATGAAATAAGAGGAGGCGCCATAAAATCAGGGGTAATATCATGGCCCCCGCCATGATATCCACGCCCCTCTAGTCATCACCCCCCTCTTTTCCGCCCCCGAACACAGCGGAGGCCCGAACCATGCGCAGAATGCTCTGTAGATGTACAGTCGGACTCGATTGGACAGGACACGCGGGAGGGCACAAGACCCTTCCGAGGGCCACATCGCCACAGGAATGTAGGAAGCATGTTTGAAGGGGCCCTGGGACATACAAACAAATACACACAAATAAAAGGACCCCCTATATTTTCCCATATTTTCTCTGTTTTTGTTTTCCCCCCACTTCCCATATTTGCCCATATTTTCGGGGGATCGACGATTAATTGTGTCTGTGTGTTTTTTCCCCTCCTGATCTGTAGATGTACAGTCGGATTCGATTGGACCCGACACGCGAGCGGGCACAAGACCTTTCCGAGGGCCACATCGCCACCTGGCCATCGCTCGGACGTCCATTCCCTGTGTTTTTTCGGTTTCGTGCGTGGTTTTTTCGCCAAATGATCAAGGATGCTCCTCGATGGTCCTCGCCGAGAAACAAGATGCACACGTCCGAGCGATGCCAGGCCACAGGAATGTAGGAAGCATGGGTCACGAGACACAGGGCACAAAGGCACCCTCGAGCTGGGGAGGTCGACCGACTAGTCCGGGCCGTCTGTACAGCGGAGGCCCGAACAATGCGTAGAGTGCTCTATAGATGTACTGCACATTCCTACGCATCTATCGTATCCTCGAAGCAAGAACCAATTTAGGGAAAATCCGAATTCCGTAGTCAATACCATGATCGATTTCTGAGCCTTCCCCGAAGACGCATGGTTTTCCGAAGAAGCCTTGCGAGAAGCCCGCCACCTTGTGAGAAGGCCTTCTCCTGCTCACGTTCCCCCCTCGCTCGCCGCTGAGTTTGGTTTTCGGGTCATACAGTCAAAGCCCGACCACAAGAAACCTGCCACAACAAACCAAACCCTGAGACCTCAGGACGTCCATCGATTTTTGGTGTGGGAACGTCACACTTTCCATGGCAAAACCATCGAACCCAAGAAACTCAGGGCACCCTGGAGACAGCCAGGGCGTTTCTTGGCATGGGTTTCCACTGTACCTCGGGTCTCCAGCGGCCGTTCGGGACGATCCGGGCACCCCCGGAACGACCTCGGCGAGGCGCAGCTGCTGGGACGCATCCCGAGAACCGACAAGCCGCCGAAGACCTGCGAAAACGTCCGAACACCGCAAACCTTGACCTCGAACTCGAACATCGAGCCGTCGACGCTCAGGTGCCCCTTCGCTCGCCGCCGAGTAGAGACCCCTTCCGCTTCGTCTCCCAGGTGCGCCCCAGGGATTCGCGAGGAGGTCAGGCGGGTGGCAACGGGGGGGGCGACCTGAATGGGGGAACGGGGGGGGGAGGAAAAGGGCCCCCGAGGTACAGGGCCCCGTCAGGGCGTTTGTCTTCACCCCCCATGTGGGTCACCCTCCATTGAAGGGGCCCCAGGACACACCAATGAATACGCACAAATAAAAGGATTCCCCATATC